TCCCAGCCAGGGGAGCCGCCACCACCCGCCTCACTTTACTTTGAGGGTTGTCCCCCAGCCACGGTGCCCAGCTCCAGGAGAGAAGCTCAGCTGCAGGGAACGAGCCGCCCCACCTGCTGAGGGCCAGTGACTGGGACCCAGACACAGGACCTGCCCTTGCTTGTCTGTTGGGTCGGCACTTCCCTGCAGACACCATAGTCTGTGGACCCACACCATGGCCAGGATAGGGGAACGTGCTACGTTGTGCTGCCTTGAAGGGTCTCTGGGCTCATGGAGGAGGTGGTCTTACCACTTGGCAAGGCTGTATTTACAGCTGGTCTTTGTGCCACTGGTGGCTCTATGGTGGCAGAGACGAAGCTCATGGTCACTCCCCATCCAGGAGAGTTAGGACAGCTTCTCAGAGCCGGGGGGGGCCTGTCTGTGGGAGGGAGGAAGGAAGGAAGGATGGATTGTGCACTGGGCCACTTTCACAAGGGACATGTGGAGAAGGGGTGGGGAGGAGCTCCGCACAAACTGATCATCTCTGGTGACCTTCCTGGCTGGAAGCGTCACATGTAATTTCATTTTATTTTAACAATAGCTGCAGGTGGGAGGTGTTTGTCTGAAGTTGGGTTCCAGGAAGCAAACTTTGAGATGAGGATTTGGGTGACAATGATTTATTAAGAGTTAGGGGAATTAAAGACAGCAGACGTGTGCAGATTTGGAACAGGAAGCCAAGCGAGGCGACTTTGGCTCTGTCCTACAGAGGAATTTTGGAAACAGCGGGGAGCGCACTAGGAGAAGTCCCCATCAGGCAGCAAGGCAGCTGGGACCTGTGTTCATGGCACCCTCCGTCCTTGGTTAGGGTGTAAATTCTCAGATGGCCTGAGTGCCAAGCAGGGCTCCGACAGGCCGAGTCGGGGTGTTGGCTGCCAGGCATGAACACACATGGGGCGTCAGTGAACTCTCCCAGGATTCCAGGGGGCATGGACAGAGCATCTGTGGCAACTGCTGCCATTCCAATGCCTGATGGGTGTGGAAACGGCAGCTCGGAGAGGTGGAACAGCTCGCCCAGGAGCGCCCAGCTGAGCAGTGGCAGGCCTGGGAGAGCACTCTGCCTGCCTGCAGGACTCTGCACACTGTCCTCACCCTGCAGACAAAAGGGGGGACTTGCCACTACCTGGGGATGCAGCTGGGAGCAGAGGGGACGGGACATCGTGCGCTGGACTGAGAACATTTAGGGCTCTTCCCGCAGAGCTGGCAGCTCTCCAGTAACCGTGGGGCGGAGAGGGGTGGTGTTCTCACTGAGTCTGCTGCAGCTACTCCTTCTCCCCGTCTATCTCAGGCTCTGCGTGAGTTGCACCCTCTGGAAAAGGCTGCAGTCAAGCGCTATTTATCTCCATGGGGTGGAAACAGGCTTAACAAATTAGCTGATGCTTAATTGGTGAGGAAAAGTAGGGCAGGAAAGTTGGCCAGTTGTCCTGTGGGGTTTTCTGATCAGTTCTCTCTACCAATATCTTCCCTGCGTGAGTCTGACATGAGGTGGGAACACGCCTTAGGGTAGCCGGGCTCCCACCTGCTCCCTGGGATCTCCTGGCAACCGAGGTCGTCTGCAGTGTTGGCTTCTGCAGGGACAAGCGGAGGGCCTCCCACACACAAGTGTACCTGCACCTTCAGGCAGGTACGTCATGGCACGGTGCTGACGCAGGGCTCCCAGCCGCTGAGGCTGAGTCAGGGGCAGAGCTCGGAAACGACACAAGGTCTAAGGCACATCGCCATCATGAGTGGATTAGGATCCATGCAGGTGGGGGGCCTGCGGCACAAGCTCCCTGGGAGGTTCTTATGTGCAGCCAGACTTGAGAATGCCAGTGCATGACGCAGCCTCACCCCTCACCTGGGGTCGGCCTGCGTGCTGACACTCAGGTACCCGTGTGCCACTGTGGCAAGGCACTGCCCACCTTCTGCTCAGGCACTTCCTGTGATGGGACCTTGCTGATCCTGACGCAGCCTGTTCCATCTTGAACTACGTGGAGATTCAGAAAGTTCTTTCCTGCACTGAGGTGGTGTCTGCTTCCCAGACTGTTGGAGCCATTGGTTCTCAATCAGCTCTCAGAGGCTGCACAGGGAGACTTCAATCTCGCTTGCACATGCCGGTGTTTAAAGACACCCGTACTGTCCCAGCCTCTATGCCTCCTTGGTCACTTTAACTGGCAGTTGGTTCAGGCCGCCCCACCCCCATGACTGGGCTCCTTCATCAAGTGGGGTGACCACTCAGATCAACCCCTTCCACCTGCTTCCTTTCCATGAACCTTTAGTCTTTACTCAAGGGTTTTGCTTTCAAATTGTATTTCCCTGTGTGCGCTTCTGATACTGGAAGCCAAGCACAGGGCTTTGAGTTCAGCCTTGTTAAATGCATCTCTTTAGATTCAGTTTGGTGTTCCAGCATCTGAGATGTCACGACATCCTCCCAGTTCGGTATCATGTGCAGACTTGAAAGAGTGTCACTAGTGTCCTTCACGCGAGTGTCAAGGAAAGGCTGAACTGCTGGGAGTCGAGGTGAGCCGAGCCCAGGGCCGTGCTCAGAGCGTTCTCAGACCACCCAGCGCCCTGGGCCTTCCTGGGTTTCTGAAGTCGTGTGCGCGATCTGCGTGTGGAGGGGGAGGGGCTCTGGGCTGGTGGCCGGGACAGCGCCCTCCGTGCCTCCCATCTCCACCGGACCAAGGGCTCCTCCGAGAGCCTCTGGCTCTTGAGTCCTCGCAGCTTCTCTGGAGAGAGCCCGGTTCACTGAGAGTGTAGACTGGGGCAGAAAGTGTCTTCAGGACCGGCTGCTGGGGCGCACAGGGGACGGCCCCGCAGCTGCTGGCGGAGGCGCGCAGGGAGCCGCCAGGGAGTTTGGGCCCACGGCCTGTATCCTGGGCAGAGAGGATCCGCGCCGCGGCGGGCTCAGGAAGCACGAGGGAGGGCTCGAGGAGTGTCCCCAGGTACTAGCTAGGATGCGAGTGAGGCTAGATCCCTGACAGGGTGGAAACGGCCAACTTCCCGTCACTGCTTCCGGGAAAAGCCCAGCACGGGTGTGGGTGTGCGGTGTTTTCCTCTTCCCGAGACTGAGAGCTTAAAGTAGGTCACGTGCCCTGGCGGAGAGGGAGGGGCAGGTGCTGTCTTCACCTTGCAGATGAGATTAAACGACAGCGAGGGGGAGCAGTGCTTGTCCAGTCCACACTCCCGCCCGTTGGTCTTCACAGGGGCTGGTGCCCCCCGTCCCTCGGCCCCGACAAGGCCCAGGGATGCCCCTGCGCCCACCCGTGGTTTCCTGCGGGGTGTGGTCTGTGAAGGACTTGGGTGCTAGAGCTCACCGGGGCACCCCCGCGGCCTCCATTCGCACGTGCCTGTGTTCGCCAGCACACCTGTGCCCTGAGAGCAGTGAGGTCCCACAGCACCGTGCGCGGTGCCTGCATTCGGGCCGGGCCCTGCTCGGCCACGTGCCTGTGTTCGCCAGCACGCCTGTCCCCTGAGAGCAGTGAGGGCCCACAGTACCGTGTGCGGTGCCTGCGTGTGGGCCTCACGCCGCGGCCGGGCCCTGCTCGGCCACGTGCCTGTGTTCGCCAGCACACCTGTCCCCTGAGAGCGGTGAGGGCCCAGCACCGTGCGCGGTGCCTGCGTGGGGGCCTCACGCCGCGGGCCGGGCCCTGGGCTGTCTGGGTCGCTGGGGCGGGCCCTAACACCGCCGTGCTCCTGTTAGGAATGAGCCAGAGCTCTGTGTACCTACGAGGAAAGATACATTCTGACATTGATAAATCAAAAATGAGGGCTTTAACTTGATGTGTGTGCCATGGTCTGATTTTAATAAAAACCCCTGTCAGATATCCCTCCGCAGTCACGTACTTGCAGATGTGACTGTGAAAGGTCCCGGAAGGGGACAACTCAAAAAACCCCTGGGCGGCGCGAATTTAAAGGGATACGTGAGGAATTTTCACTAAGTTTTTTAAATGAGGAGGGATTATGGGATGGTTTTGAGCATTTTTACTTTTCTGTATTTTTTTCCAGTGAAAAGAGTAATAAAGATTACATTACAAAATACAAGGGAAACAGGAAGACCATAATCTGATAGCACTCCGCTCTCTCTCAGGCTGGTAGAGGCCTGGCACAGTGCCTCGGCTCAGCAAGCGCTTGGCACATGCTCGCTGGGCGTATTCTTACGGGACATGCTTGAAAACCATCAGTCCCTTCCAATTCTTCCAGTCTATTGCCTTTCCAATTAAAGGAGGGACCAAGCACTCATAAACACATACAGGAGACAAAATAATTAACTGGGTCCTGCCTGCCTTGGCCTCCTACTTCATATAGTCAACAATATTTATTGAACAGTTACTATGTGCTGCTTATGGTGTGAGGTTATGGGTCACAGCTGTGACCCTGACCTGATGGAGCCCCCAGCCTCCTAGAGGAGACAGACAATAAGAAATAAACTGATAACCATCCCAGCACAAGCATGGCAAGTGCTAGAAAGAAACAGAACAAAGCAGAGGGAATGTTAGGGCGCGACCACTGCCTGGGAGCTGAAAGAGCCCAGTTCTGTGGGTCCTCAAGACCTGAGGACTGGGAGCTGCTGTCTTCCTGGGTGCCACTCAGCATGGCTGGCCTGGAGTAGCCACCATAAATCCCTCATTCCAGTTTCCTGATTCTGCAGCCTCAGGCCGTGATGGGCCTCCTCCCAGAAGCGCACCTGCAGAAAGGGGTTTGCAGGCCTTCTTGGGGAGGGAGGCTGTGTCCGCACCTGTGGCCCCGTGCCGCTCTGGGCCGGTGCAGGAGCGCATGGCGCTATGGCGGGAAATGAGGTGTCTGTGTTCAGATGATGCTTCTTGTGGCTCAGGCAGCCAGAGCAGGCCCCAGGGGGACAGCGTGTTTTGTGAGGAAAAAATCCTCCGAGAACAATATTCATCAAGCCCTGTCTTGGCATCATCTTGCATGTCTGCCAGCGTCTGTCTTGCTTCCGTTCATGTTCATTCTTTTTCTCTCCGCAGGCTGTGGAGACCAACCTGGCTTCCAAGGACAGCCACTGGGTCTTTGTGAACGAGGTAAGAGTCCCAGCATGGTGGGGGGCGCGGCATGGAGTGAGCCCCTGTCCCCGGGGAAGCTCAGGGCGACCCTCTCAGGGCCTGTTCTGACGTGGGGGCTGGCGGGAAGCCTGGGGCTGCACCCTGCCCAGGCACGAGGTCAGGGCGTTGGGCTTGACCTTCTAGGATGCTCCCCTGGAGCAGGTGGGAACCAGGGGAAGGAGCGAGACCTTAGTGCACGAGGATGACCCAAGGCTGGGCAGTGGTGTGAGGTGTGAGGTGTGTGGGGCGAGGCCAGGCAGCCACTGGGGGCCAGGAGTGGAAGAAGTCAGGGCAGGTGACAAAGTGGGCTGCAGAGGGGCTGGGGCGAGACCGCATTTCATGCAGGATGTTAAGGGTGTGTGCGAGGGTTATGTGAGTGTGTGAGAGTAAGCAAGCGTGCGTGTGTGGAGGGTGTGCACATGTGTGAGTGTATCGGTATGTGTGAGTGTGTGGATGAGTTGTATGTGTAGGAGTGTGCATGTGTGGGTGTGCGTGTATGTGTGTGTATACCAGTTTGATTATTTGTGTGTGAGTTTTATGTGTGTGATGATATGTATGTGGGTTTGCATGTGAGTGTGCATGTGTGTGTGAGTGGGTATGCGTTTGCATGTGTGTGCATATATGTGTGTGAGCGTACGTGAGGGTGTGTATGTGTGAGTGTATGTGAGTGTATACATGTGAGTGTGTGTATGTGTGTTTGAGTGTTTGTGTGGGATTGTGTTACATGTGAGTTGAATGTGCATGTGTGTGAGTGTGCATGTGTGTGTGCAGCCAGTGCAGGCGAGGTTCAGTGCACCCATTCCAAGGAGAGTGAACAGGAAGTCTCCCCCAGGCCTGGCCATCCCTCGGGTTTGGCCCCGGTAGGAGCGGGAACACGAGGTGTGCTGGGGCCCCGTCTGCTCTTTAGTACTTGCACCCTGCCCGGCCCTGGCCTCCTCCACGCTGCAGGCGTGCACAGCAGTGGCTGTGACCACGCGCCCCCACTATCCTGAAGAATCCCCTCTGCCTACATGTCTGTTCAGGAGCACCAGCCAGGCCAGCCGCGGTGACCCCAGTGCCAGCACGCAGAGCTGACTCGGGGGCATTCCTGGCATGTGCTTTCATCAGGGCTGTGGCCTTCAGCTGCTCCAAATTAGCTGATCAATTTCTAATGGCTTTATTCTGGGAGACGCAAGGTTTATTCTGTAGGTAATTTATTCTTTTATGATGTCTGTTTCTTCATTAGTTCAGTGCTAATATGGCTGAAATAGTCCTGGGTGGCTTACTTTAATAATTGTACAGGTAGTATCAGTAACCACTTGCAAGTCCACTTTTCATTGTTTTCTTCCATGAATTCACATCTTATTAGCTCCATGTCCTCAGAGGCCAGTTGGGTCGTGCGTGGGAACCGTCCATTTATCGAGGGGTGTGATGGTTGTGCTGGTAATTACAAAGGACACAACAACCTCCCCCCTGTTCTTTGGAGTCTGCTTGAGGCCCCCTTGATCCTTAGAAAGTTTTGATTCTCTGGGCTTTGCTGACTTCTCTACAGTTTCTTCAAAATCCAATTTCCTTTGTTCCAGAGAAAGGATGCATCTCTTGTGTCCCTTAAGCCAAATATCTAGTGTTGGTTTTACTTTTTTGATGACTCATCCAAATTGAATGCCAGTGTCTCTCTGTTGCCAGTCTTCAAACCAGTGCTCCGCGTTCACATTCCTAATGAGTCTCCTTTTCTGAATCCCTGCCCGCCCCAGGCTACCCTGTTTCTCCTGACTCCTTTAGGATTGAAGTTACTTCAGACTGACCAGTGGGAGATGCCCACGGCATTCCATACTGGTAGGGACACTGGCATTTTGGGGCAGCTGGAACCCAGGGCTCAGTGTCACCAGCAGAGTCAGATGTGAGGTGCACCTGTCAGAGCCACCCAGGAGCAGCCTCACCCGAGAGGGTGACTCTGTGCCACAGTGAGCAGCAGGGCCCCTTGGGCTGTCCCGGCAGCCCACACTGACCGTGCGAGTATCCTGAGCTCCAGGAAGCGCCGGCGCCTCCTTTCCTGGCTTCCTCTTCTGTGAGGGGGATCTTCCCCTTGAGTGGCAAGGGACAACAGCTGATGTTTCTTAGTCACCTGTTCTATGCCAGGCACTTGTCAGTGCATTTGCTGCCTGGCTTAGTCCTCATCAACAACCCTGTAGGCAGTTATTGTCATCCTCATTTTACAGATGGGGAAACAGAGGCCCCAGAAGATAAATCACTTGCCCAAGGTCATGCAGCTGTTAAATGGTGCATCTGGGATTCTATGGAAGACTGCCTGGTTCCAAAACCCTCTTCACCAAATGACACCATAATGCAATGACCTTGGCAAAGATCCTTAACTCATGATCACTGTCTGATTCAGTAAAGCTGGTCTGCGGGGCTCAGGTATGACACTGACGGGAACACTGTTGGGCTGGCCCTGGTGCCGGCTCACGAATGTTCCTGAAGTGTGCAGTCTGAAGATAGGGCCTCCCATCAAGCTCCTGCCCGTGGACTCAGTGCAGCCTGGTGATGACTGAGGTGTTCTCCAAGTCACACGTGGCCTGTCCTTAGGAGCCAGCTGCATGTGGGACCACTGTTGCCGCAGGGCACCTCACACTCTCCTTACAGTGTTGCGTCATTTCAGGCTGCGCACATTTCTTAAGCTATGAAGTGTGGAGTACCAGACAAGCACTAGTAGTTTCTCAGTCACTTTGGGCTGGTCATATATGATGACTCTGGATGAAATAAAGAAAAAAAACTCAGAGTTGCAGCAGACATTTGGTGGCTCACTTTCTGGTGTGGCCTCCAGAATCCAGCCGCTACACCGAGTCCTTGTCTTCCTACTTCTTGAAGGAGCTCTCCACTTCTCTGGAGGAACTTCAGTCCCTCAAAGGCAGGCCCATGTCTCCTCCCCACCCCCACCACGTTCGTCTTTGGGCCTCCAGGTGGCCCCCGGCCTGCCCTCTGCTCCCTCCTTCCTTACAGCCTCTGCCCTTCAGTGTCCTCCCCTGTATCTGCCTTGCGCAGTGCATTTTCCTGGATTCCAGATAAACTCGCACGGGCACATGTTTTTGTTTGCTTTCCCCATGCAGCGGTTTTCTGGGTGAGTATCGGTGTTGCATATTCCAGACCTGTGTTATCTGGAGAAGGAGTTGGCTACAGAGGGTGGCTGGTGGGTCTGTGAGCCCCACTGACAGTCCTGCGGGTCTCTGGACACCTCTGTGGGGACACAGGCAAGCAGATGCATTCTCAGGTATAAAGTATATTCTCACTGATTGATTAAGTTACAAGTTACCTTAGAGGAAGGCGGGGAATTCAAAAGAACTTGTGGAAAACAAAATGAACCATTGGTCATGGTGGCCTCTAGACTGTGGGTCCCCTGAGGGCACGGTCAGCTCCAGCTCACCACCGAACCCGCAATGCCTTGTGCAAAGAACAGATTCCTAACAGGCTTGGCTGAAGGCCGGTCGATGGACACGGAGTAGAGCGAGCTGCATTGACAGGCACTTCCCCATCTGCCTCAGAGCAAAGACAAAGGCAACTATTGAGACCAGAGTCCTGGAGACAGAGGGGACTGCTCTGGGCCGTTCATCAGAAGCTGCCAGTGCAAGGCCAGTCAGACTCAACTCTGGGCGAGCTGCGCGGCTCTATCACCTTTGTCAGCTGGGGCGGGGCGCGTCTTCCCTGTGCCGCCTTCAGCACGTCCCAGGGCAGCCACGGCCCTGCTGGTCCCGTGACCCACAGGTGTCCTCGCGCTGGGCGGAGTCTGGCTGCGGAGGACAGTGCCCTCCCCACGGGGCCCTGCATCTGGGCGGGAGACACGTGCCTCATCGTGTGAGTCTGGCCCCTTGAGAATTCTTTTATGGAACATGCAGCGCGACTCTCCAGCCTCTTGAAGAACCAATGGTGACAGGGACGGAAGTGCTCTCCTTGTTGCTGGGCAGCTCTCTTGGTTACGTGAATTCTTCCAGACAGGGAACCAAAGCACAGTCGGGTGGAAGTGGCTTGAGAGCTTAACAAGCGATGCGGAAGTGCACGTAGAGCCTGTGCACCCGCCTGGGTTTCCTCGGCGAGCGAGGCTCTGAGTGGGGATGTGTGGCCAGCAGGGCCAGGAGGAGGTGGGCTCCGGCAGGGAGGAGGCACTGTCAGCAGGCCCTCTGCTCTCTGCCCCCATTGTCAGCGTGCACCAGTGTCTCCGCATCCCACATCCACTCCAGACCTCACCCTTGAGCCCCACACCCAGAGATCTCGCTTGACTCAGGATCCTTCTTGACTTGGCTGCTGGGAAGCCCCATCACCACCTCAAACTCACCATTCTCCCTAAACCTGGGTCTCCTTTAGTGCTCCCCAATCTCAGAGACCACCATCCCTGTCCTTCTGGCTGGGTCCCCAGCCAGAGAGAAGAGCCCCCATCATGCAGCCCATTCCGGCCCGCTGCATGTGGACCCTGATCCCACCTTTGCACCGTTATTTACTTACCGTTCTGCTCCCTGTCTCACAGCTCATGCCTGCAAGGGGATTGGCGACTTCTTATTTTCCTTGTTTATTTTCCCCTCCTGGCTCTGAGCTTTTGCCAGGATTTTTCTTTCCACCTGGTGTGTCCTTTTGAATCTGTGATTGTCCAGGACTTACCTTTACCTGCTGGGACCTGTTTAATATTGTCTCTGCCAAAAAGACTTCCGGATTTCCCCAGTAGAGTTATTCTTGTGCTGTCTTGCGCTCCTCACCCCAGCCCTGCTGTGCTGGGGAATTGTCGCACGTGCCTGATTCCCTGAACAACCTGTTGGTGAGGGCTTAGGTCTCCTCTCTCTCAGGTTCCCTAAAGTTCCCAGCACGAGGGGTTCACACATGGAGGACTTTTCTGGGTTAAATGGCCTGACCGTATCCTAAGAGGGATCATCCAGTACACCCCAAGCATGGGGTCCTCTGGTCGGAGTGTGGGGGGCTCTGCAGGCCCCTCTGCCTAGAATGTTCTCCTGTTCTTG